TCAGCTGATCGTGGTCACCCCGTACTCTATGTGGTCTCTGGAAGGGACCATGCTCAGGGAGCCCCAGCGTCCTGGGACCCTGGGGCCCATGTCCACTCCTTTAAGTCCCATAAGCATTCAAACCTCGGTCTCCTTCCAGGGAAAGGTGAGGCTGGATCAAAGAAAGGGGTCTTCAGGGCCCGGTGTGGTGTCCTAGTGGCTAAAATCTTCACCTTAAAAATGCCAGGATCCCGTATGGGCACTGGTTCTAATCCCAGCAGCTCCGTTTCCCATCCAGCTCCCTGCTTGTGAGCTGGGAGGGCAGTCAAGAACAACCAAGGTCTTGGGACCCTGTGCCCACGTGGGAGACCTGGAGGAGCTCCTGGCTTCGGACTGGTACAGCTATGGCCATTGCAGTCACTTGAGAGTGCATCAATGGATGGAAGATCTTCCCCTCTGTCCCTCCTCCTCTCTGTATGTCTGACTTTGCAATAAAAATAATAAATCGTTTTTAAAAAGGGGGGGGTCTTCACCCAGTTTTCAGAGGTGGGGATCCCAGCAGTCATCAGCATCCTCGAGATGGGGCATTTTGTGGGAATTGTTGTTGGTGGGTTTTTTTGTTTGTTTTATTTTTTTTTTTTTTTAGATTTAGTTCTTTATTTGAAAGAGAGATTTACAGAGAGGAGTGACAGATCCTCCATCTTGTGCAACCCAAATGGCAGCAAGGGCCAGGAGCTTCCTCTTGGTCTCCCTGGGCCATCCTTCACTGCTTTGTTACGCCATAAGCAGAGAGCTGGATTGGAAGTGAAACAGCCAGGACTTGAACCAGCATCCATGTAGGATACCGGCACAGCAGGCAGAGCTTTAGCCTGCTGTCACAGCGCTGTCTCCAGTAATACAGTTGTTTAGTCGGCCTCTTAAAAGGGTCTTGAAGGAACACTGGGTTGATTTTTTTTTTTTTTAAGGTCTTTCACTGTTCCATTAGTGAGCTCAGCAAAAAATGACAGGAATGTCTCTAGCCTAAACTGGCGTATAACTGCAAAAGGCAATTAATGGCGTAGCGACCTGAAAATCTCAAGGCTGGTATGCCAGAAATCACTGTGCAGGTGTTGTCATCTGTCATCTGTTCCTCTTCACTCCTGGGCTGTGCCTATCTCAACTTTGACTTTATTCTCAGCCCCCACCTCCCATCCTGGGGTGACCAAGAATCCCTCAGAAGTCGTTGCCTTAATTTACAGCCCATCTCTTTCTTCCCCCAGTATCCGTAGTAAGATTCTCAGCTCCAACTCTGATTGACCACGCTTGGATCTCTCCCAGAGCCAGTCCCTGAGGCTGAAGGGAGGAAACATTCAGGTTAGGAGTCAGACGAGGATAGCTCTCTCCCCAAACCATTCAGTTCTTGATGTAAACCTGGCTGAGCGTGGGAGGTGAATGTATGTGGCAGCTGGAGCACAGCCATGGTCGTGCTGAAGCTGCTGAGGCAACTCCGAGGGCATCCTCCCCTCGGGTGGAATGGAGTGGCGTTCTGAGATGGCTGGGGTCCTGATGGAATCGCCGCTTATACCGCCTCTTAGTATTTCCTTCTCTGCTCTGCAGAGGACCCCGGCTCCATGCACAGCCCCAGCTTCCTGCAGTCCTCAAGAGGCAGCTTCCTGGCCCAGAGAAACTTGGCACCACTGGGCTTCAGCACAAATCTGCCGTTAAAGAGCCATGTGCATCTCTGTAGAAAAGAAAGGGAGTCAAATTAGAGTAGCAGGAAAGCAATTTCAGTTGCAATTGAAATGGTGGGTATTAAAATTTTACAAGAGCTTTATGCTGGGGTTTTCTTGATCATCCCAGGAATTTTTTTAATGGGAAGACTGACGATAAAGGAAAATGTTCTGGGTACTTCTGGTTCCCTCCTGCCCTGCCAAACATGTTAAACCAAATTTGTTAGGACTTCACAGGCCAGCTTAGGAACAGCAGCTGCCCAGGAGGCCATTTCTGAGTGTTTAAAGTATGTGTGTTTTTTCTGTATTTGCTGTGTCTTTGTGTAGTAACTGTTTCTAATTTTGTTTTGTACTTTTCCGAATGGCCTAGTAGTGAGCTATGGGAATCATTAAGAACAGCAGTTGCCTCTGCCCTTCTGTGTTAGTTGAACGTCATTTGGCTGTGTGAATAAATAGAAGTTCAGTCAGCTGAGGCATAAAAGAAATGTGAGGATCCACATCTTGGGGAATTTTCCTTCATGGCTCGATCTAGAGCCTCCAACGAAGTTGCCAGCATCATTTCCCAGACTTTCTGTCTCTGTATTCTTCTGGACGGGTTTGATTTTCAGGGAAGCTCTGATGCAGACTCTGATGGAGTCTCTGGCTCCACAAGTAGATCCAACCAGTGTGGTAGCCCGGGGTTAATAAACCACCTCTTCCCATAGTCTCCCGGAGCTGGTGGTTTTGGCCTCTCATCTGTTCTTTGATGCCAGGAGCAGGGAAGGTGGCAGTAGGATGGCCACGTCTGGATCATATGAACAGCCCCTCCTCCACCCCCAATGCATGACATAAGATCCTTCCCACAGGAAATGTGTGTGCTGAGTGGGAAAGTTGATGCTCATGCAACAGACCTAGGAAGGGAAACAGCCAGAACAGCAGCCTTGGGGGACCCCTTCCAACCTTGAGTTCCCAAGGCTGAATTGGCTCAACCTTTACCACCTGCAAGTCTAGGTCCAGAGCCCATGGACTTTGGAAGGGCAGTAATTCAGAGAATCTTGAAGTTGCCTGGGGGAAAGCATTGCATTTCTGTTCTTCCTGAAATGTATCATTTCCTTAGGAGCAGCAGCAGCAAACCACAATTGTATTAGCAGTATCTTTGACCTTGTTACTATTAGAAATTCCAAATTTTTCCATACCAAATTACAGTTGTTGCCAGCATTGTAAAAAAAAAAGTCACGCTCATCTGTTACTTTTTAATTTCTACGTTATTTACTCATTTGGAAGGGTGATGGAGAAAGAGATCTTCCATCTCCTGACTTACCCCCTAAAGCTTGCAGCAGCCAGGGAGGCCCAGGCTAAAGCCAGGAACTAAGAACTCCATCCAGGCTCTCACCCAAGTACTTGGACCATCATTTGCTGCCTCCCAGGATGCGATAGCAAGAGGTAGTGGTGGGCCTTGCTCCTGGACACTCTGAAATTGAATGCAGGCTTCCCATGTAGCAGCTTATCACACTACACTGCAACACCCATCAAATCACCTTCTCTTTTTTTAAAAAAAAAAAAAAGGTTTTAAAGACTTATTTTTTAATTTGGAAGACCGAGTTATATAGAGAGAAGAGACAGATCTTCCATTTACTAGCTCCTGCCCAAATGGCTGCAGCTGCCAGAGCTGAGCCAATCCCAAGCTGGGAGCTAGGAGCCTCCTCTGGATCTCCCACATGGGTGCAAAAGTCCAAATACTTTGGGCCAATCTCCACTATTTTCCTAGGTATTCCAGAAAGGAACTGGATCAGAAGTAGGGCAGCCAGGGCTTAAAATGGCACCCATAATAGGATGCTGGCACTGCAGGCAAACACTTAACATGCTATGCCGCAGCACCAGCCCTTATTTTTAAATTACTGTAGTTAGTGGATTAGTCATCAGCCTTATTATTTGAAGCATGAATATTATTGTATGTCAGATGTGGTTTTGTTTTATAGATATTTTGAAATTTGATATAATTGGCTTCCTTTATAATCTTATGTTGTATTATATATATTATATATATATATATTTAAGTGATTATGAAAAAGAGTGAGAAAGACCACACGTTCCTTTATCAGGTTACTAACATGTCCCTGACAAGGGGAAGATCAAAAACCCCTTTGACCTTCTTCACAAACTCCTGGGGGCAGGATGGCTGACGCTGTCCAGATTACTGGGCTCCTGGGAAGCTGGTTAACTGCTCACCAGAGTCCCTCCCTTGGAAGCAGCTGCAGCAGCTGCCTGGCATTTGAGCTTGGCCTGGCCTCCTGAGCAGTATTTGATGTTGTGATATCGGGGAGGCAAGATGTGGAGCCTGCCATCGGCCCTCTCTTCACTGGCCATCATAACAGGAATGTTCTAGCCAAAAGGTCAGGAGCACATTGACTCTGGAATCAGGCTTCCTGGCTTCATGTTCCAGTGCTGGGACACTTTTGACTGAGCAGGCAACCTCAGTTAATGGGTGCTTTACTCCCTGTGTGCGTCTGTTTCCTCATCTGTAACATGGGAGAGAGAACACCTGCTTCTTAGGGTTACTGGGGATGTGAAATGAGCACAAGAGTCCCTGAGCCAGCACAGAGGACGTGAGGGTCACTGCTTGATGGCCACGTGCGTACAAAGGCTAGAGATCATCCCTTCAGGACTCATCTTGCTGGGTTTGTTCCAACCGCTGGGATGAGATGGTGAACAGCACAGCCTGGAGGGGTTCATTCATCCATGAAATAGCTGTCCAAATACAAGCTACCATAGCAAACACTCAGAAGCAGAAATTCATAATAAAAGTTACGCGTCTGGGCAGGAGCTGTTTCTGTCATCCCTGTGCTCAGTTGTCTGAAGGCACCGTCCCCATCATGGGCTCCCTCACCTCTCTGCGCTCAGTTCCCTCCCCTGCCCCTCCCTCACCCTGCATCAGCCCTAGGGCCTCCTGGCTGATTGTAAGGTGTCCCCAGCATGCTCTCATCCCTAGGCCTTGGCACTGTGACCATTCTGTGGCCTGGAGGGCTCCTTCCCAACTAGTCCCATAGTTGTGACTTCTGTTAGGAGATTTTTGTCGTCCGTATGCTCTGCAAGGCACTGCATGAAGGCACTGACCTTTCCCTGTCCTTGTCTTTGATTGTCCTCCTTCATAACTTGAGCACCTCCTCCCCGAGGGCAGGATACTAGTGTGTTCCCAGAGCCTGGCACATGGCAGGTGTTCGGGGACCGTTTGTGGAGGGAGTGAAAACATGAATGACAGATGGATATTGCAGCAGGAAGGCTCCAAGTAGCCCAAGTTGTAACCTCTCTCTCTCTCTCCCTCGCTCCCCACAGATGCACAGTCTTTGATATCAGCTCTTCCGGGACACACCAGGACCATTAGTGTCAAGAACGTACTGAGGGTGAGTACCCTGGATCTGTCCATCTGCTTGAACTAATACACATAAGCAGCTTCATTATTTAAAAAAAAAAAATGCAAAAGAGCTTCAGGAGTAACAAGTATTTCCTTCACTGCCTTCCCCATCACCCAAGCCTGCTATGGTCTCTCAGAGGTGGGGAGTTGGATCCGACTTCTCGCCATCCGTGACCATGCCTGCCCAGAGGTGTGCCCCTTTGGGGGGTTAGCGTGCTGCATAAGAAAAGGATGCCTGCTCTGCGGGTGTTTCTGCCATGTGCCCTAACTCCCCCAGCAGTTGTGTGTCTTGGAGGTAGGTCTTAGTCCAGAAGCATGCTTCAGTGTTCTGTGCTTTTTGTTTTTCACCTTTCTAGTTCAATTTCAAAATTTATGTAGAGTAAAATTGACTCTGTAATGTGCAGCTCTTTGGGTTCAGACACATGAGTGCAGCTGTGGGATTACCACTGCATCCACATGTGCCGGTTTCTCCATAGGTGTAAGTATCGTGTGGGTATGTGGACATGATTAAAGTAGGTGTTAGAAATTTTCATCAGATGCCAGCAAGCCACACAGGAGATGTTTATTCGGACTAGAAAGGGTCCATACCCACATGGAAGGGGATGAAGGCAGAGAGAGAGAAGAGCACAGGGAGAAGAGAGGAAGAGAGAAGGGACTCCTGCCATAGAGGTAGGAGGGAGGCTCCAAGGGAGCAAGGGAGTCACAATATGCTCAAGGGGAAGAGAGAGATCTAAAGAATGGAAGAGAACTTAGAGGCGGGTGTTGGGGTACAGGGCTGTGGGGATTGGTTAACGTAGTGGTAAGCAGGCCAAGGACACAGGGTCACAAGGGATTGGTGGAAAGGGCTGTCAGCTACAAAACTGGGCGTGTAACTAAATAGCAGAGATTTTACAAAACCAAAACTCTAAGGGACACAACTATTTAAAGCGATGGCAGAGCTAAAATGGTAGGGGTCTCATCAACCTTAGGGGCTAATGCTCAAGTCACTGTGCACAATATGTACGTATGATAAATACCTACTTATAATATTAAGGTTGTGAATATGTTATACTGAGGTTTCTGGGCTGAGGGGACAGGATGGTGACCTGCAGGTAAACATCTCCCGAGTTGGCGCCACGGGGTCTAAGCAGTGGAGTGGCCTTGGCCCTATGCCGTTTCATTTGCAGTGAAACATTTCTGGATGCATGTGCCAACCTCTGCTGGATGAATGCTGAGAGATGGCAAAGGACAAGAGACCCTGACAATGTGGAAAGCAGGGGATTCTGGCATTCAGCCTCAGGTCGGGGGCCGTGCTTGCCGAGCCACCTAGGCCGCTCTGTGGAGTCCGAGGAGCTGAGTGAATTTACCGGATCTCCTGCCTCTCCACTCTTTCATTCCTTCACCCTGCCAGAGTTGTGCTCCTGCATATTTGTGGGACAGTCTGTAAGGGTTACAGGTCCATCAAAGGTTCTAAAGAAGCACAGTAACTTTCTTATTTGTAAGTAATTTTAAAATTGCCTAAAAGTAGCAAAAGTGTTGGAGTTCACACACCTAAACTTTATCCAGCTCCCCCCTCTGTTCCCATCTCGTGTAACAGTAGCATAATGTAGAAAATGAACACTCAGCCAGTGCTAGTGACTAAATTACAGACTATCAGATTTCACTGGTTTTTCCACTGATGTCCTTTTTGTGAGCCGAGACCCGTCACGGGATCCCACGCTTCATTTAGTTGTCATGTCTCCTTGGCTTCCTGCAATCTAACGATTCCTCAGTCTCTGCTGGTCTTTCCTGAACTTGACACTTTGGAAGAGTACTTCTCTGATTCCATAAAGATCTCAATTTGGATTCTGGTGCTGTTTGCCCATGACTCAACTGAGGTGACATGAGAGGGGCGATGTGCCCTCCTCCCCTGTGTGTCGTTTGGGGCTGGAGCTGGAACCGTGACATCCTGCCTCTTGTTAGTGTGCGTGCAGAGCATTTCTGCTCTAAGTCTGCTCTTTCCTCGTCATGACTTATGGGTCTCTTGGGGGAGACAGCTGGAGACTGCTAATCCTGCTCCTCACACCTGCACCCATGAATTTTTAGTTGGTGGGTGAGCCTTGCCTGCAGTAACTACTGTGATAGTGCCCTAGGGATGATTTCTCCGTGTCCCTGCTGCCCTCTGCATTTACTCATTGAAAGCCTTCTGTAAGGAAGACCCGTCCTTTCCCTCAGTCGTTTCTTTCTTTGGTTGTTAATACCCTTTGGGCCTGAGATGTTTGTTTTAACCTAACATACTCCTTCTCCATGTGGTGAAAAGGCTCCAAATCCCAGGTGAATTCCTAACATTGCTACTTAAGCTGCAGGAAGACTGACATGGACCTTGAGGAACTGGGAAGAAGGGAAGAGGTCATATTTGTTGATTTATTCATTCTTCCTCTACCCTGCAAATATGCACCTGAGCACTACTGTGGATTTCAGGCTGAACATCCAGTCAGACAAAACCATTTCCCTAGGGGAGCTGACATTCTACTGGAATATGAAACAGTAACCTAAGAAATGAATGTAGGGTAAATGGGTGATGGCATGTGTGATTAAGCACATAGAGGAAGGAAGTGGGGATTGCAGGGGTGTTTTAGACAGGGTGATGAGCAAAGGGCTCTCTGGAGAAACCCTGGCCAGGGGAGAGAGGAAGGCAGTGCCTGACCTGGCGCTTCACCATCCAGGGGAGCTCAGGCAGTCTGCTCACTTCTCAACAGGAATTCCAGAGTTGCAGCTCGCAGGAGTTTGTCATCCTTTACACCGAGCTGGACAGCCCCAGGTCAGGCGAAGCCCACTGCTGCCCTATATTGTCAGGTCTTTCAGTTTCTCTTCTGCCAGAAGGAAAGAAAAATGAGGAATTTTGATGAAACCATCACATTTGGGTAATTTTTAGTGACACACAGTGTTCTTTTTAATGTAATGGTACAATTCCATAGGGTCTGGGATTTCACACACACACACACACACACACACACACACACACACACAAATTCCCACCCCTGACTGATTTTCCTCATATTATAATAATGTAGTCCTTCATAAGGAGTCATGATTCCATCAGTCAGACACACAGTGGTGTATTTTTTCTTCTCCACACCAGCCTAATCCTTGCAAAATAACCAGATTATTTGTGCTTATTGGATTGTTAAGTTGCTTTTTCTTTGTAACAAAGAAAACAATGTGACGTAAAAAGAGTGGAAATCACAAAGGCTCAGTAAACACTGTATAGCTCCACTTTTGTTGTTGTTGTTGTTGTTGTTGTTGAAAGTCGAGCAGAGCTCTCATCTACCTGTTCACTTTCCAAATACTTGTAAAGGCCAGAGCTGGAGCCAGGAGTCATAAACACAATCCAGGTCTCACACATGGTGAACCATCACTGTTGCCTCTCGGGGTATACATTAGCAGGAAGCCAGAGTCAGGTGCCACAGCTGGAAATCGACCATGGATGCTCATGTGTGGAATCCGGACAAATTAGCCAGTAAGCTAAACATCCACTCCCCTTATACTTTTTATTTTCCTCTATAGGAGTCTCCACCTATAGGCCTGGGCTTAAATTGGTAAATGGTTACCGTGGTCACATGCCCTGAGCCATTTGTGTCACTGTGGATGTGTGAGTGAGGAATTCTTGCAGCTTTAAGAACAGAACACGCAATTCAGAGCAGTTTATTCAGGAGGCCTGCTTTCTACCCTGTATTAAAAGATCTGGGGCCCGGCGCGGTGGCGCAAGTGGTTAAAGGTCCTCGCCTTGCACGCCCGGGATCCCATATGGGCGCCGGTTCTAATCCCGGCAGCCCCGCTTCCCTTCCAGCTCCCTGCCTGTGGCCTGGGAAAGCAGTCGAGGACAGCCCAAAGCTTTGGGAACCTGCACCCGCATGGGAGACCCGGAAGAGGCTCCCGGCTTCGGATCGGCATAGTATCAGCCCGTTGCGCTCACTTGGGGAGTGAATCATCGGACGGAAGATCTTCCTCTCTGTCTCTCCTCTCTGTATATCCACCTTTCCAATGAAAAAATAATAAAAATAAATCTTTAAAAAAAAAAAAAAGATCTGGAGGAACTCAGGTGCTACCCTCATGACGACAGGTCAGTGGCTGAGTAGTGTCAGGGCTGGAGTCCCCTTTGTTTCTCTGGCCCTGGCTGCTCATACTCCCGTGGTTGCTGTTGCAACTCCAGGCAGAACAGGGGCAAGGATCAACTCCTGGCACATCTGTGTTGGATCACTTAAGCAATCCCAGCGTCCTCAGAATTTTCCACTTGCATCTCGTTGGCCGCAGATGCATATTATAGTTTCTTCGAGCTTCAAGAAAGATAGGGTATTCCCTTAATTATCAACCTTTCCTGAGAAGGAGGCCAGAGAAAAAGGGAATTGAGAATGCAGTGGAGGTGAGCCAACCAGCAGTATCTGACTTCATAGAGGAAGAAAAAGTCATAATTACTATTAATGGGTGCTGACTCTGCGCCGAGTCCTGCTGTCAGTACTTTCCATGCATGATCTCATTCAGTCCCATAACCACCCTGTGATGTCACTGCTGTGATGTCCCCAGAAAAATCAGGAACCAAGAAGTAGTCTCACCAAGCAGAGCAACTGGGGTAGATAGTCTAGCAGCGTACTTCCAGATGCTCACTGTCAGCCACTGTGCTTGACTGTGTCATTAGAGGTCAGAGGGTTCCAGGCTGCTTGCTTTCAAGGCCTTAGTCTAAGTCCTTCCAGCAGGGCATGACATTGTGACACATCAAGTCAAGCTACCATCTGCAGTGCTGGCATCCTGTATGTGCCAGTTCGATTCCTCACTGCTCTGCTTCCAATTCAACACCCTGCTAGTGTTCCTAGGAATACTGCATTATGGTGATCCAGATACTTCAGTTCCTATATTCACATGGGAAACCCAGACTGAGTCCCAAGTTCCTGGCTTTGCTCTGGCCCACCCTCTGCCAATACGGCCACTTGAGGAGTTAAGCAGTGGATAGAAGATATGTCTACCTCTCTTTCA